AGACACTTTGTTGATCACAATACCCTAGAAAAACACACGGTCTAGAACGTGGTTCTAATTTATGAGTGGTATATGGACGTAACCAAGGGAAGCATTGACACCCAAAAACAGCAAGTTTAGAATAATTAGGAGTTTGTTGAAAGAGTTTTTCATATGGGGTGCAGAAGTTAAGAGAAAGGGCAGGTTGTCTATTAATGAGATAAACTGCTGTGAGAAACGCATAGGACCAATATTTAAGAGGCATGGATGCATGGTGAAGAAGGGTGATACCAGTTTCCACAATGTGCTGATGCCGACGTTCAGCAAAGCCATTGTGTTCTGGAGTGTAGGGAGGCGTATATAAATAAGAAATACCACATGTGCTTAGGATTTTCCCTAAGGTTATGTATTCGCCTCTCCCATCAGAATAAACTGTTTTAATTGTGCGTTGAAAAAAGTTTTCAACAATCTTTTTAAATTGTTGAAAGAGTGGAGTAACCTCACTTTTATGAGTCATAGGGTAAAACCAAATGTATTTGGTATAATGATCAACAAAGATAACATAGTAACGAAAGCCATCAACAGAATTAATACGAGCAGGACCCCAAACATTTGTATATATTAAATCAAGAGGTCCAAAGCTCGAAAGAGATGATTTTGCAAATGGCAGCTTATGGCTTTTATTACTAGCACACGAGACACATAGAGAAGTATTTGTAGTAACATCAGAAAAAGAAATACCTAAAGAAGACAGAATTTTTTTTAGTGATAGGGAGGGCAGGATGTCCTAAACGACAATGCCAGTTATTAAGGGTATATTTTTGTGTGATGTGAGCGGATGGAGATGGTGGAGGGAGGGCATCTGGTAAGCTGTAGACGTCTCCTTTATTCATACCCCGTAACAAAATTGCTCCCGTTCACCGGTCCTTAACAAGACAAAAGGAAGAGTGAAATTCAATTAGTACATCATTATCACGACATAATTTGGCAACAAAAATTAAATTGGTATGAATAAAAGGGACAAAAAGGGTATTAGGTAGAGAAAGAGAGTGAAGGGTCATATGACCAACTTGTGCTATCGCAAGACCTTTACCGTTACCAATGACGAGAGAATCAGTGCCAGTATAATCGGATGCCAAGGTAAGATTATTCAGGTTGTTGGTGACATGATTGGTTGCCCCAGAATCGAGTAGCCAACCATTGTGCCGAGTGACAGCCGTATTGACTTGAGGGGGGTGAGTTTGTTGTTCAAACTGATGCCAACAGTTGAGAGCAGAATGATTTGGTTTTCCACAAATTTGACATGTAACACTGCCCCCAAAATTACTATTCCCCGAGCTGTTGCGGGCTGCCTGGTTGCTAGTAGGACCCCCAAAGTTATTATTTCTACGTCGGTTGGGACCATAATGAGTATTGGGCCGCTGATTTCTGGGTTGAGGCCTATTAGAATTGCGGCCTGGATAATAATTGTGACTGGGCTGCTGTTGAAATTGGGCTGGTGGTCCTGGGCCCCAAATGGAAGGGGCTGGATTTCCCCTGCGAGCCGCAAGAGCTACGGGCTCCCCAGTCGCGACATTATTAGCCGTCACTACACCAACGGAGGTGTTCATATCTTCCTGCCGCTTCATGGAGGCTTCGAAGCCTATGAGCAGAGTATAGATGGTCTTGAACCTGTTATCGCGGCAGGTACGAATCGAGTTCGCAAAAGATGCAAACTCGGGTCGGAGTCCCTCCAGAGCTTGAACGACGAAATCTTCGTCGTCTACAGGGCGGCCGGCCTGAGCCAGTTCGTTGGCGAGCGTTTGCAGGTGATGGAGATACACCCCCACCAGTTGAGAGCCCTGTTTGGTGTGGCGGAAGGTGTCCTTCATATTTCGGATTTGAGATGGCGAACGAGTCCCATAGAGGTCTTCAAGAGCCTTTCAAACTGCTGCAGATGTACGACAGGCTCCAACGAGAGGTTTACAGGCCGAACTCAGAGACGCTATGAGGGCGTGCCGGATGAGTCGGTCCTGCCTAGTCCATCGGAGATGATCATCTGTATCAGTCTTCGGTGGCGGGGCAGCGTCATCTGATATAAACTGATCAAGATGAGAGCCAAAAAGAAGATCCAGAATCTGATCTCTCCAGACAAGGTAATTCGAACCATCTAACTTTTCTGGGAAGTGACTGGGATTTAGCAGGATTAACCCATCTGGGGTGAAAGGAGAAGAAACTGTGGTGGGAGGGATATTAGAGGTGATAGGTGTACTGGTAGGAATATTGTTGCGGTCTCCTTGCCTGAGGATAACCTCGGTCTGGCTATCATCGTTGGTTGTCATAGAAGAGGGGAGGAGGGCTGGTTAGAGCTCAGAGGCTCTGATACCATAACAAAGAGGAGAGAATGAATGATTTTCGTATATTTCACTCATATGAAATTGGTTTACAAGGCTGCTATTTATACACATCCTAACCATGTATATAAGGTAAATAATAATCCTCACTAAATGACAAAAGATTGTAACGGCTAATCACAATATTCTCTTTATTCTATTTTAAGTGTAAACTATTTCTTTCCTTCAATAGTTACCTATATATATGCATATCAAATGGATTTTATTCATAATTAATAATGGAAACTGTTCTATATTGGCCAGAAAATACATTACGAATAAAATTTCAAGTTTTCTACAGATTCTATTCATGGCTTTTATGCATAGAACATATGCACTTACAGAAGTTGTCAATGAAAGCAATACAATGAAACAAAAAGAAACACGATGCAACAAAATTCAACAAAAAGAAACAAAAACCTTTCATGGAAGGAAATTCAATAATCTGTTGCACCATGTGCTGCTACAACAAAGCAATAAAAATTAATCTTATTAAAAATGGTCAATGAAAGCAATACAATGAAACAAAAAAGAAACACGATACAACAAAATTCAACAAAAAGAAACAAAATGCAACAAAGAGCAACATAATAGAATACAAAGCGAAAAAACAATTAAAACAATACGGAGTATATATTACAGAGTAGTATCCAACGAATATATATTTATTCATGATCAGAATTGTACTTTTCTTAAATAAAATGTTCTCTTGTATAAAAATTGTAAAGTGCATTTATGTTCTACAGTTTACAGATTGCTCACTCAGAAAAATGAAAGTTGCTAAACCATGACTATATTAGTAACTTAACCAATGAGAAGAAACAGGTGGTCATGAATCGTATGGTTCAACTATAGTCTGTGTAGAGCATGTAATAGAATTATAAGTTAAGAATGAACGCTTACAGTAGAAGAAGCCTTCTTCTACTTGAATGACTAATGTTTAGGACTAAAATGAATACTTTCCTTGAAGCTTATATAAGTTCCTACAGATTAGAAGAAGAAGAAGAAGAAGAAGAAGAAGAATAAAAACTTATTCAATACTTTCTTAGCTTGAAATCTATTGTGTTATTAAAAGATCAACATCGTAACATAATAATAAAATATGACCATACCTTCAACTATACAAGTGTGGGATATAAATTACACTGAATCATTACGGATGAACTGTCGCATGCGTCATATATACTTTATTGATCATTATAACATTATTAACTGCCAAAAGCAAGTACTGACCGTTTATTAGCTTGGGAACACTCATCTCCATCTTTGCACAAATCTCCTACTAGGCATTGGCCTCTAGCTCAAGTTTGAACTCGTGCCCAGCTGATATTGTCATTCCAGTGACTTCCATAGCACCATTTTATTGCCCCGCTTTAATACATTTCATCATTCTGCTATTCTGTTTCCATATTGATCCGATTCTTTGGCCATGTTTATAGCTGTTGAATTGTCTTACATGCTCCAACCCTAGAAATGTCACCTTTTGAATAACCCATCTACTGGCTAATGCAAACTTTCCATTGATGACTTGTGATTCAACAATGACTCTGTTGCCAAAGACGTTCCCACATAATTTTATCAAAATTTATTCAATACAGAGCAAGTTGTGGTTGAATGAAATGAGGACAAAAACACAACTCTATGAACTAAAAGAAGAAGTAAACATGATCACCAACCGAGACCTGGATCGATATGTGTCCTTAACAGTTTGATATTAAAATTTCAATTCAAGTCACATGCTTAAAAAAATTGAGCACATCAATCCTCTAAACACAAAATTTATGTATGAAAATAACATGTAGAAGAGAGGAATACTTTATTTAGATCCCAAATTCCCCAAACTGATTAGGGCCACAAGGATGACAAGTGTCAAAGTCAGTCCCTGACTCCCTGCTAATCCAAACCCCAGCAAAAATACTGCAATAGGAGTATATATTTTAAAATAGGAGCATGATAGTGCTAAGAAAATCTATATACACTCTGAGGAAACCGATGACATTATAATAACATTCATTCGAATTTCAAATACACACCTGCCAATAGGAAATCAGCGTGTAGTTAGGCCTCGATTCAGCAAGCAGTAGAGTTGCCACGCATGAACGGGAGGAGGGGAGAGGGCGGAGGGTGGGGAGCAGAGGGCGGAGGGTGGAGCCGCACAGGAAGGAGGTCAGAGAGAGGAGGAAGGAGAGCGGAGCGCGGAGCCGGACGGAAGGCAAAGTCAAGAGCGGAGGGCGGAGCCGCTGGGGCCGGAGGCGTAGCTGGAGCTGGTCCGGAGGAGAAGAGCAACACACGATCGAGCTGGAGCTCGACAGGTTGTGAGGAACTGAGGATTGCCGATCGATCTCTGGTATGAGTCGTGAATTAAGATTGAGGTCATTTTTTAAATAAAAAAACAAAAGTGAAAAGGGAAAAGTCTCTAATTGAAAAATAAATTATGAGGTGATATAAATGAAATGCAATTAGAAGCTGTGGACTGAACGGGATATTTCCACAAAAAAATGGAGTAAAGTTATGACAATCCAGTCCAACCGTTCGTGAGAAACCGTCATTGATAAGTAACATTCTCAATAACTGCGGTTCAACCAAAAATAGTTGAAATTAGAATTTTCCCTTCATATTTTTATTTCTTAGCTCTTTTTTTTTTTTAAATATTTCCTCTCATCTAGTCATCTCTCTCCCCCTGATTGGAGTGAACCACACCACCCATCCAAGGTACTGTTACATTCATGTTACGGAGTGTAAATCCTTCCAAAGAAAAAGGGAAAAGTTTCCAACTTTCCATTCGCTCGACCGTTGTTCAATTTGCATAATCACAATCAATAGCAGAAGAGATGAGCTTAACAGCTCTGAATGGTTTGGGTTGCAGTCATGGCGTGGGTTGGATCCCAATATCCAGCTGCAATTACCTGCACCGAAGCAGAACTGCTCCTTTCGGTTAGTTAACATTTCGGCAATTTAGCTACTAAATTTTCAAAATCCTGCTTTGCGCTCATATTTTCACTTTTAATGGTAGGCTGATGGCATTGACGAAATTAATTTTTTAATTTTGAAAGCGTGGTACTGTGACAAGCATAGGAAACTGGTTGAGCGGAAAATTTCATGCGAGGCTCTTCCGGAAGAGCCCAGATTATTTGTGAAGACGCTCCAGCTTGAGGGGTTTACAACAGCTTTTGTTGGTACGGTTCTTATTTGGAGTGTAGCACTCTTACATATTTAGGCTTCTTGTTTTGTTTTGTTCTATTGGCTATTTTTTTTACATTTTATTAAGAATCATAGACTAGGAATAGAGAACTCCAAACAAGAAATAAGAAGAAACACGACTGAAATACGAAGACGTATTGATGTCTTAATATTAGTAATAAATAAGAAGAAAAAAAGAATAGGATCTAGAGTTAGAGATGCTCTTAGAAGCCTGAGGTAAAGAGGGAAACAATGGATAGAGGATAGAGATAGAGAGGACAAAGAAATATGCTGGCCTACAGGTGATGCTAACGGAGGTTTAAGCACTCCACAGGCGGATGATGGAGGTGCAGTCAAAGGATCTCTACCAGACTGCTTCTGCAATGATAAGTTCTACCAAGAAAAGTCACATTCTTTCAACCCTTATCAATTATCATTAATCTTAGACTGATATTTTGAGCTAAAAGAAATTAGATGGGCGCGCGCACGGCATGCCTCATCCACGCCCCCAATGTGCTCTAACTTGACCTGCCACATTATGAACAAAGTGCTATACTATTTGCATCATGCCTAGGGCATCCCTTTAACTGCAAGGATAATTAGTTAAGGCTCCGTTCCTTAACTCTTCCATAGAATTAAGTGTAAAGTTGTAAGAGTTCGGAGTAGTGTAGAAAAATGAAAAGCAGTTGGGAAAATATGAAAAGGAAGATAAAAGTAAATCTAAAACTGAAAAGTGAAATATTTGGTAATACTCCCTCCATTTCGTTAAGATTGTCCCGTCTTTTCTTTTCGGTTCGTCCCACTAAGATTGTCTCATACCATATTTGGTAGTAATATATATGGAACTACTCCCTATATTATACTCTTATGTAATTTAGTGTATGATGAAATTTCGCAAGATTATTTCCTATAAATCTATAATAGCATCGTTGTTTTTTATAAATAGGGTCTCAATCCCTCTATTCAACACACATAAATTATTATGGAGTACTATTCTTTATCCTTACGTTTCTACCAAATCAAAAACCTGGGTAGACATGCTGGAGATTGAAATGAACTTGTCGGAAAATATGATAGATGTGAACATCCTAATCATAAACAGATTTTAGTTTCTGTACCTGAAACTGAAGCCTTCCAAATACAATACATCACATTTTGCAGTACCCATTCATATGCATTCCCATAAGTCCATAAATCTGAAGGATCCTTCTCCAAACCAAAGAGAGAAGCTGTGGCAGGGCACGTAAGCTAATTTAGTCCTCAATAGTCTATTCTGTATCTCCAAGTCATGAAACTGGAACATGTGCATTTTCAGTTTAGGTTATGCTGTTCAATTGCCCTAGATGGTAAGGAGATATCGGGTAGTGATATATTTTGTTACTTAGACTCCATAATTCATAAAGACAGTGAACTAGATAAATGGAGATGTATACCATAAAATCAGAATAGGGTTGATAAAATGAAAGAGCATGTCAGTATTTCTATGTGATCGAGGTATGCGGATTAATTGAAGGGTAAACTTTATTGGACAGCAATTAGGCTTGCATTACTATGACGTAGAGTGTTAGGCGGTGAAACAATGTCACATTCAAAAGATGAGTGTGGCAAAGATGTGTATGCTGCGTTGGATGTGTAGACATACTAGAAAAGATTGCTTGAGGAATGAGACCATCAGTAAAAAGGTGGGAGTAGCACCTATTGAAGATAAGATGCGGGAGTTTCGATTGCGGTGTTTTGGTCAAGCGTAGAAGACCGAGTTATGCACATGTTCAACGATTGGAGAGGTGTGGAGAAGAGAAAGGAAAGAGAGGGAGAGGAAGACCCATACAGATGTGATTAGAGGAGTCAGGAGTGATATGCTTCTTCTTGGATTGAATGAGAGTATGACTTTGGAGAGAGCAAAGTGGTGGGCGGATATTCATGTGGCAGATTGATCTCTTATCATTCTTTTATTCTTTTATCTTCTTTATCTTTCTTATATTTTTACCCTTTTATCTTTTTTTTATTTATATGTTCTTTTTTCCCATCATTTGCAATGGAGCCAAAGATTCACTATTTTTTGGCTTGTGAATATGATGGAATAAAGCAAAATGGTTCACTAAACTGTCTGCGCTTCTTTGTTATGAAGCAGCAGCCAGCTCATGCAATGTCCGACGCGATTTTCACCATGGGTCATCCGGAAACAGTCTCTCTATGCTTTAGTACAGGGGTAAGACTGCGTACATCCGACCCCCCTTACCCCAGCGTAGGTGGGAGCCTTTGCTGCACTAGGGTGATGATGATGATGTTCTTTTTATCCTTTTTGACTTATCATTTTATCTCTATCTTATATTTATCTTTATCATATCTTTTTTTATCTTTGTTATCATACATTTTCTTGCAATCTTTCTTATCTTTCTTTTCCTTTTGGCTCTGGTATCATGTATCGATACATGTTAGCTGTCCCCAAAATCTTTTGGGACTAAGGCTTGGATGTTGTTGTTGTTGTGCAGTTCAATATTGACCGCATATACTCCCTTGATTATTTCAAATGCGTGAATCTTGGATATGATGGACTGGCTTTAGTTGCTACAAAATACATTTTTAATTTCACAGTGACACCTTTTCAATCATTGGGGACTAAACCTAGGTAGTCTTAAATAAAGCACCAAAGCTGTAAGAATGTCATGGTAAAGGGATATAAAATGGAATTAACTCTATTCCTTGTGATTCAAGTCACAAGTATTCATCCATGAACTTTGTAGTATAGCTCAAACTTGCTTAACATGATGTGTATCAGATCTTTTTTAGTATTGTCTTTGAGATTTGGGCCTGGTCTAGTAGCATTGAATTATCTCAACTAGCTCTTAGCAGTTTTTTATCTTATGTTTGATGAGTTGTTTAATTAAGTTATTTTTATTTATCTATATAATGATTTACATATGGATAAGTCTGACAATGGCTGAATTCCCTGTTTAACGTTTCAGCATCAAATATGCTTATGACTAGTACTGCAAATGCTTTGACCATGCAAGGCAACATGGTGAGTATTTCTCTTTGACAGTTTTATTTTCACCTTTCTATTTTAAGGATGTGTGTGACCTCTGATCATGGATAGAGGTATATTCATATTTTTTGTATACTTCCAGAGTGGACTGTCATTTTCTGCTATATTGTAAGATTTGGTGATACTGATAACAGTCTTATTTTATTTGTATCTGGAGCTTCCTTCTTCTCTTTATGCATTGGCTGATGGAGGCATTACAGATTGGTTTGGAGACTTTTTATACTCTGCAGGTCAACAGGCTAATGAGGCTGTTCAAGGCCAGTTGTCAGCTCTGAATGTTTCTAGGTCAAGTTTCTAATGTTAGTATGTGCTTTTGGTACTGCTAAACTAAACTCAACAGGATTTACTTACTGAAGGGTCACATATTCTGTTTTGCAGTTTAGCTGTGATATTTGGAGCAGGGCTCGTAACCAGCCTTTCACCTTGTACGTTGAGCGTTTTGCCACTTACCCTCGGTTACATTGGTAGAATCTCTGATCTTTAACTTTTATCTGAATGATGTGCTATTTCATCTCCTTTCTTGTCTGACTACTGTCCTTTATATCATGGAATTCCCCTAGGGGCATTTGGCTCCGGGAAGAGTCGTGCAGCGGTGAGCACCTCAGTCCTTCCATAAAACTTTTCTTTCCTGTTTGAAACTCTTAAGGGCACACTTACTAGGTAGCAGAAGACTGACAGGCATTTCAAGCAGAGGGAAGCAGGAAGCTTCAGATCTATCTTGTATTTATTAATTGAAAGAAATGAATGGAAATAAAAGAAAAGGCTTAGTAGAATTAGTCTGATCTCTGATCTCATCAAGTGATCCCAGAATAATTCTGCAAAGCTGTTTAGTAATTTAACTGAAAACCCATGATATAGTTATTTAGGATTCCTAAACTGAGATAGAATCCAATATGAATATAACTCGAGTTAAAGAAGGTAAATTAAACTAGGAATAAATTATACTAATAATAGTAGGAATACTCCTCTGCTTGCTTGAGCTGCAAGTCATTCCAGAGGGCCTTGCTTTCTCCTCAGCCACTTTGGGAACCTGATCCATCTCTACTTGCATCCAAGTTTCTGATCCGGTCTCTTTGTTTATGCATGAAGCCTTAGAATTGATCAGTAACAGAAACATGCCATTTTCAATGTGCTTAGATATGTTGGGTGTCATAATTAGTCAACATTGCATTACAACTATGGTGTATATAAATAAAATTTTCCCAAATTTTCAATAAGTAGGGATCTGAGTGGATATTTTCAAGTATAGGTAATTTAGGGAACTCCGCAATATCTTATAATTCTGCTTTAGTCTGTTCTCATTAGCTTTCTCCAATTTGTCATTGGCATACACACTTGTTATCTTTCCCATATTTCATTATACATATATAATCCAAGTAGTATTTTTTGACAGGTTATTGCAGACTCTGTTGCTTTTGCATTAGGATTGGCCACAACACTTGCATTACTTGGCATTGCCGCTGCATTTGCTGGAAAGGCATATGGTCAGATCGGCCGTGGGCTACCTGTGGCTGCCTCTAGTCTTGCTATTGTTATGGGCCTTAATTTGTTAGAGGTGGCAGACTGTGATAATGCTATTATTTTGTCCTTGTATAGTTTATCTTTAGAAAATAACATCATTTCTATAGACAGAGTATTGTTTTTAAGGGAAATACGTAAACTGTCTTTACTCTTGGGTTTACCAAAGTAACATAGGATCTTCTAAAAGCAATCTTATCATTCCAAAAAAGTTGTTTCCATGTGATTGAATCATAGAATACAGGATTAGATTGGGTCACTTTAGCTTGCCCATAGGTCACTTCGGCCAAACCATATAGAAGGAAAGCAATTTAAAAGGGTAGCTAAAGTTTATATAGAGCTCTCTAAACTCTATCAAGTTCTAACCGCGCTGAAGTCAGAAGTACTTGAGCAACTAGGGGTAACTCAAGTTATAAATGTTTGCACTTTATCACACCGTTTTTTGTTGTTCTGCTGTCTTCAGTTCTGTGTATTTACCTAAGGGATAATCCTGGGCGTCCTGCAGGTAGTAGAGTTGCAGCTTCCCTCATTTTTCAATAATTTTGATCCGCGTACAGCTGCTGCCAATTTCCCTTCAAGTACATAACCTTAAGTTAAATTACACCGCTGGATCTTGATGCGTTCATAACTTCCTCGGACACTTCTTGGCAGTCGGCACTAATAAAGTTGATACCTTTAAAAAATCTTTCAGGTGTGCAAGCATATTTGGCGGGTCTTACGTTTGCCTTAGCTGCATCACCTTGCAGCACACCAGTACTGGCCACCTTACTTGGATATGTTGCTGCATCTAAGGTTCAAATTTTAGCTGATTTTTTTAACATTTATGTGTTTTTGTTGTGTGTTTACTGTTTAGGTTTATTGCCCTTTTCCACTAATCTCTTCAGCACCAATGCCACACTCCCAATTAAAAAAAAATGAAAAGAGAAGACATAGAAAAGAAAAGAGGTACCACAGTTCTATTAGGGCAAGTTATGAATAGAATCAGATTGCAATGGTTTTCCTAAGTTTTAAGGTTCAGGAGGATTCTAACACCAGAATGTATAATAGGATCCAATTGTAGGAGGCAGCGTACTGCTGACATATACAACCGGATATGTTGCTCCATTACTTCTTGCAGCTTCCTTTGCTGGAGCATTACAGGTACTATCCACACTACGTGATATAAACTTATTTGCTTGCTTGATGATTTAAAGGAAACATGTTTCCACAAGATAAAGACCTTCAACTTCAATGGTCTGTAATATTAGTTTCAAGAAACTTTTTCATTCAGTGAAACATAGGAGAATATTTGAGTTTTATTCAGGAAGAAAAGGCAATTTTGGTCCGTAAAATAATAGCATTTTGTAACTTCACTCCACAACATACTAAGTGTCACAATTTTATTCACAAATTTATTGAGGTGTATTGGTCCTTCATGTTGTTATTTAAAGGACCAAAACACCCGCCTCGAAAGATAATAAAGAATGACTGGATTATCTTTAATATGTGCTGTGAAAAGGAGTAAAATTACAATATGCTGATTAGGGACTCTTCAAGTACCTTTTTCCATGCTGCATCCGATCCACTATGATTGTTCATTTTTTCCTTTTTCATTCATTCCACTAAATTTGTCCCGTACCCTATTTGATAATACTTGTGTAGTTCTAATTCGTTCTTACTTCACCAATTCAATATCAACAACCCAACTCTACTTTTCTTAAAAAACCACACAACCCCCAATCTTGTAGTCTTGTCCCAATCTTAGAGGGATGGAGGTGGAATTATTTATCGAGCGGTGTCACTTCATTATTTTATCATTGAGTTGTAATAATGCCTAAATTTACAGAGCCTGCTTTCTGTGCGCAAGTTCTCAGCATGGATAAACCCAGTCAGGTTATTTGCACAAAAGAATGCTGTTATGCTTAATCTTTTCCTATATTATTTATTTTCAATAATACTCATCAAAGTGACAACAGTCTAACACACGCACACTTTGGAGAAAATGTAACCCTGTCTTTTTTTTTTTGTATAAAATATGGCAGTGGTGCACTCCTACTAGGTGGCGGTGTATATACCATCTTGGATAAGCTTTTTCCTGTAACAATGACAATGTAGAGATTCAGGTTGATCAGGATACATCTCGTCAAATTGCACCATTTGAATTTTTAATATGCAAGACCAGTGAAGATGTTCAGGTAAAATGAGGGTGATATATAACCATGTTAGGATTAACTATACATGATTTTGATGATGTAATGTATTTTTAAATCTGAATCCCCGCTATTTTATCCTTCGCATAACTACAAAATGTAAGGTCAAACTCAGAAATAATGTATCTTTTACTGTTGTTTTCTTTAGTAAAAATGTTTTAAAATACTAGTATCTGTTTAGCGAGTCAAGTCCATCAATAAGTTCAGTGATTTCAGTCATAATTGTTCCAGCCGAAATTTTAATCAACCGAATGGGCAATGTGGTTGGTCCATGGTCCTTTATAAAAATGAATTGTAAATGTGATTTCTTATGATTTCATAAGTGAACCATGGTTGTTTTCTTGATTTAAAGGATGGGTATACAGATCCAGATTTTTGGTTGCAATTACTCCCAATTAGCGGCCGGGTGTTATAGATATACTAAAAGAGATTTAGGCTTGTTAAGACATTAGAACTTATTTAGAAGATAACGAAATAACAGGAATTTTACTCAAGGGGAGATGAAGACATGATTTCTTTCTATCATTTTAGCAGAATGACATTGGTCATTTGGTCTAACTCTAAGTTCTTGGTCTAACTTTTATTTCTGAGACTAAAAGTGCGATTTTCCCTCTTTTTATATATAAAAAATGTAGAAGTTCTACTCGAGTATACACAGTCAACATTATGAATATGGCTCCACTGATTCACATTTGTAAATATACTTCTTTTCCCTTATTCTGTACTAGTTTTTCCTTTAATATCAGATCCGTATTTCTGAGATTGTAAATGTCAGATCTCAATTGTTCAAATTGCAGTAAATGTTGTCCTTTGAGACTTAAATGTATGATGTGGGTGATGAGTACATTTCACCCTTCGAAAGATCACATTTACAACCATTTGGATAATTGAGGGGTAACATTTACAAATTGGGGAACACGGGTCTGACATTTCAATATGGTGATTATTTCAGGAAGGCAGAAACTAGGGGTGAGCATTCGGTCGGTCGGTCAAATAACCGACCGATAACCGAATAACCGACCAAGTTTTTCCACACTAATAACCGACCGAAAACCGACCGACAACATCACTATAACCGACCGAAAAACGTAGTTCGGTTTCGGTCGGTAACCGAATAACCGACAATAACCGACCATATAAATTTTTTAAACAAATTTTTTTCAAAATTTTGAATGCTTTAAATAAACATATTAGAAAAAACATTTGATACAAAAATGGTTGAAAATAATTGATTTTTTACACTACAAAACAAAATGAATGAAAAAAATTGATCATATATAAAATATTTCTCTCTATTCATGAAATAAATAAGAAGAAATGAATTGAATTACCTCATAATAAAATTAGTTTTCTTATGATGCTGGTAGCTTTTCTTGTGCATGAGTGTCATTTTATCTCTTTTGAGTCAACCACTAAATACTAAGTACATGAAATTTATTAAAGTAAACTTAAATATGACTAAAGTTAACATGAGTTTACCTTTCATGATTACTATAATATAAAATTGAACACAATCATGCATATTAAAATTAGAGTTTTTTACATAAATATTACCAAAAGTATTTGAGGTTACAAAAAAGTGCCTATGAACAAGGCAACACGTTCAAGAGCATGAGAGTAAAAAAAGACAAAAGGTCATATTTTAGTTAGTGGGGTTAAAAGTAGTTATATTTGTGTAATTTTTTCTTAAAATTATAATTATAGTCATTAAAGTATGAAAATACATATTTGTATCCACAATATTCAATTTGGTCATATATTTGACATTATTTCTTAAACTAATTGTGATATATTATTAAGTGAAACATCATAGCATAAAAGAAGTACATGGAAATGTTTATATGGAGTAGAATATACTTCGGTTTTCGGTTAACCGACCGATAACCGATCAAAATAACCGACCGTTAACCGAATAACCGAATAACCGACTTCTTTTAATAAGTAATAACCGATGACCGACCGATAACCGAATTTTTCGGTCGGTTCGGCTATCGGTTTTCGGTTTTGTCGGTTTTGTCGGTTTTTTGCTCACCCCTAGCAGAAACTAAAAGTGCGATTTTCCAAAAAAGAAAACTAGGGTTCTTTATTTCACTACAAGTGCGAAAAGATAACTAGGGTTCTGTATTTCAAACTTCAAAGAATAATGCGATTAGAAACAAACCTAATAGATCGTTTTGTTATCGAAGACTACTAGTTTTGGCCACTTTTGGGGTGTTCTTAATTCCGATTTTGAAAGATTTATAAGAATTGTAGATTTCATAAAATTCTAATTGAATTCCACATTTTTCCTAGACTTTGAAGTACATAATTCCACGGGTTTTAATGGATTATAATGACATCTTACGGAATACTGTTTCATAGAATCTCATACTCCGTACTTAAATTTTAATAGTGTTTTATGAATACTACTTTAAGCTATCTATTTGTATCTAAAATATTCTCAAGTATTTATAAATACTAAGCGTGGTTATTAATTATTACTATTACAACTTATATTTTTTATATGAGCTTGTACAAATGGAAAACAATTTGAACAATGTTAATTCAGTTTGAAACCTACAAAGACCAACTGACTAGTTACACACTTACTCATATCATCATACCAATCTGTGAACAAAAATCAATACTAATGCCCAGGGCCGGCCCAGGGCATGGCTGCCCAGTGCGACCGCACAGGGCCCGGATTTTTGAAGGGCCCAAAAAAAAAATTAGTATTACGCCTCAGCCCAAAATTTCTTGCGTAAATCTAAATATGCTTGAAGAATGTCCCTTTTTAAATAAATTGTAAGTTATTAATGACTATTTTTATCATTAACATTTATTCGTAAGTTGTATTTTAAGACAATTTGCTTGTGTTGCAACTTGAAAAAAGGCCCAAATTTTATTCTCGCACAGGATCTACATTTCTTCGGGACCGCCCCTGCTAATGCCTAATGTCCCAAATTTTAAAATACTGTAAAATGGAATCCCATGTTTGGACTGTGGGCAGTCGAGATTATATACCCACATATGTTCAAGAAGACAAACCTAGAAGAAGAGTGGCAGAAGTAGCCACATATGCTCAAGAAGACAAACCTAGAAGAAAAAGAGTGGTAGAAGTAGCTAAGAAGAAGAAGAAGAAAAGTCTGCTGAAAACTCACAGGATTTCAAATCTAAGAAGTGAGGGTAAGACGATGAGTTGAATAGATTAGTGTTATCTTTGATATGCAATTCTATCGATGTTTAGCCAAATAAAATATAATTAAAATCCATGAAATTATTGAGAATCATGAAGTTTTTTAGGAGCCCTCTACAATCTAATTCCATAGGTGACAAAACTTCTTTAGAAACACACATGGTATTATCATTAAAATACATGCACCTTGTTACGGAATAAAAATCAAGAAACTCTGTACTAAAAGATAGTTTGTTTTGTTTTCACAGGTAACTTATAAGAGGGATATAAAAGGAGGGACTACATTCTGCCGCTCTGTATTGCATTCAAATTGGCGGACATCCCTTCAAATGGGCGGATGACTCAATAGGGCATATTCTCGGAATTCTAATGTCCTCTGCCATTTATCATCTTCTTGTATTGGATTAGCGATTCCTGCCTCTCCAACCTCATTTCTTCGTTGAACTTCTTTATGAATGCCTCCACTCGCCGGGTCAGCTCATCCTGACCCAACGAGGGCTCTCTTTTCAATTTCCCTGACTTCGACCGGGGACTCGGGGATGACTTGCAAACGTCTCCGTTCCCCGGTGAACGGTCATTATTGAACATTTCAGACTTTGTCATTTTTTTCTGAGGTGAGGTTGGCCTCAAAGGGTTCTGGCTGCCATAGGTGTCTGACTTGCGCAAGTGCCGCGTTGTCAACGGCATCCCCCGCCCTTCTGTTATCATCTTCCATGTGCTCTCAAGAGTATCCTGCCGTTTAGGCTTTGACACTGCCAAAGGGGATTTGCCACCTGAGAACAAATCAAAGACCCATTTTACGTACACTCATGAAAGAAAATATTGAACTTGTATTGGTCATATTTCGGATTACAAACTTAAATCGCAATGAGATCATTTTCTAAACTAGAAATAGAGAACTCCGAAAATGATTGAAAATGATCTCATTGGGATCATTGAAAGTTGAAGGAAATAAGATCACAAAAGTGAAAATGAATCACATAAAAAAGAAGAAAAGAAGTGAAAAGGTGAAATCACATATGAGATCACACATTCACACAATTAGATCACAATTGAGACCACAAAATTGGCTTGTGCTAATGTTAAATAAATCAAATGAGATTTTTATGATGCCCGGACCCACATAGCCTGTTTGGTTGCAACAGTTGAAGTGGGTAAATGGTCAACTCAGAATTAATTCGTAGCAACTATTGAATTCATTGATGGAATGAATTATCTAAACAAGCATTTTTTATCATCTAAACAAGCATTTTACATCCGAAGTTGGCAATAATAGGAATAAAAAAAGAGATTTCAAAATTAAAAATAAAATTACTATTATATATATGTCCTAAAATTTCATTTACCACAATGCCGCAAAGGCTCCCACCTACGGTGAGGTAAGGGATATTTGTCCTAATATATCATTAATTATTCCTACATACAATTTATGAAAATACAGTCCACTATTTAGGATAGATTTTCAAATGTACTGAACGAAAAGGATGACACCTCATTCATGAGGACCCCCAACACCGACCGGACGGCACGATGAGAGGATGTAAATTGGACTATAACCACAGATTCACAATCTGACAGAGAGTGGGGCTCCGTCCCCGGTACTTGTAGAGACCCTATGCATTTTTAGTATAGTAACCTCTCATCGCAGTTGCCGGGATTCGAACCCGGGACCTAACCCTTGTGGCACTCCCTCGCTACCAGTTGAGCTACGTTCACCGGTTCGTATGGCCATTGTTGGCCCTAGGCGTTTTTTTTAAATGTACTGAACGACCACCGATCATCTGTAGTTTCGTCGTACTTTCGTTACTTTTTAAGTGAGGATGTTTTCTTTTGGACTGAAATTTGTTGGTCTGATCTGGTCTGTTAAACGTCTGGTCTCTGTGTATTTTATAACTACGGAAGTCTGGTCTGGTCTGATCTGGTCTGATCTGGGACTGAAAACCGTCCAAAAGAAAACATTTGAGTCCTACTTTATTCACTCTCAGCTCTAGCCAACACCTTGGTGTGCAAATAAACAACGAAATTGAAAACTTATGTCGCAAACCGATCGAAAAAA